ACAGGTCCTTCAGGCAGCACCCAGACTGAGGGTCAGGCTCTGTCAGGACTAAAAAGAAAAGGAGGACCACAGTCCGGGCCACTCTCACTGCATGTGCCTTAAGTCTGTGTTGTGATTGGAAATACGGCACTTTTTCTCCAGACAGCACAATGTGATGGTTTCCAAAATCAAGGCGTGCATAAGGTAGGAGACTCTTTCTCTGTGATCGTAGTCTTCCTTACTCTCAGATGACAGCTGGTAACGTGCACTGCGGGGCTGTCGTGCACGCGACTTTGGCCCTCAAACATTTGGTGGAAGAGCCCTTCAACTGCACAGTCTGGTAGGTGTCCATAATACGTTTTTTTTGGTGGGTTACAGCAGGGCGCGTCCAGCCCTGGGCATGTGGAGCATGGGGGATGGCAGGAGACAGGTGTGCTCTGGGTGAAACTGCCCTGGGTGAAACTGCCCTGGTGTGCGGGGAAAAAGGGGTTTGCACAGGGGGTTGGAACAGTGGCCACTGGTGGTATAGCAGCATAGCGCAGCTTTAATGGCGGGGAATGACTCTGTTGATTTTGCAAGTTGAAACAGGAGCCTCCGCTCTGCACGTTAGCCACATTGTCATGAAAGCAGTAAATGTCCTCATTAGCATTAATAAAGGGGTTTGTGCGTGATAACTTGGGCTGAGGGGGCTCATGTGGTGCCGCTCTTCTTCACAGAGAAAAGGGTTCAAAAGTCCATATCTTTCACTTTCAAAGTCCTGTTTTATTTCCACTTGATTTTCTTTTACTTCAGTTAGCATCATGAAGGGGTTCGAAGAGCTAGTGACTATTCCTAACATGCCCTCGGCAGCAGGGCGTCGGCTGCGGCCGCCATCTTAGCTGGGCTGCTTGGCCAGGTGTAGCTAACAATGAATTTCCATCTAGCTTAATCGTCCCGGTTTATTTCACCGTTATTATGCTCACCCCTGCTGTTTGTTGAACGTGAGAGGGTCCCTTCGTGGTCGCCAATGTTCACCGTTCCTGCTTCAGCTCCCCCAATCAACACGGAGGTGTGTTCCATCCAGGGCCGAAGGTGATGGTGCTCACTTCGGGGTTAACCCCCTTCACTTTCACCAGCAATTAGAAAAGCAACACAAGGGAGCTCCGCTTGATCTTGAGATGCTGCAGCCTATGTTGCCTGTAGATTTCACTGCACATTGAGACTAGCTCCTCTGCTCCTCTGCCCCTCTGCTCCTCCGCTCCTGCTGCCTGCACCTCCGCTCATCCTTCCCGCTCGCTCCATACGCGCCACAAATATACACCGCCCCGCCTCTTAAAGGAGCCGGGCTCTTACAACACCACAATAAAATATCATTTGAGTTTTTTTTACTTCAAAATGCCGTGTGTCATGTAATCTGCTGCTTGAAGTTTGTTAGTAATTAAATAATTAGTAATTCACGTCAAGTGACATTAACTAACCTTCTGTATTGACTGCACAATGACGTAACATTTACTTGAGTAGTGAAACTCGAAACCCATTTCCTGCTCAGCCAGTGACGTCAGAGGACAGTTTGCGCTTCTTTCACAGCATAGAAGAGACAGCTAGCTGAGCAGCAGCAGCTGACCCAGGGTCAGAGACGTCTCCTGGATGATTTTATAGCTCATTTGATGAGACAGATTATGGATGTGGAGCCACTGGGGTAGGTTTTGTGCTTTATTTACTTTGTACATTCTTGTTAGCTCATCTGCTAAAGCCAGTGTGTGTCTAGACCACAGAATACTTTGCTAGCATTAGCTTAGCTTGCTAGCTGTTATCATGCTGGCACATGTGCTGCTTTTCAAGACATACACCTGCTAATTTTTGTGGACATGTTTTCACTTGCTAAAGAAGTGATACCTGGTGGTGGTGAGGGAGTTTTTCCTCTCCGCAGTCGCCAAAGTGCTGCTCATTTTTGGAATTGTTGGGTTTCTCTATATTATTAGGATTTTAAGGGCTTGGCCTTCTATGTAAAGTGCCTTGAGCTAATGTATATTATGATTTGGCGCTATACAAGTAAAATTGATTGAAATTAATTTGAATGGTAACACTTAGTTAATTTAGTTAGAGTTAAATATTGGTATTAGCTTCCCCCACCATCATTCAATCTCTGCCTTCTATGTAAAGTCCCTTGAGATCATGTATACTATAATTTGGCACTATATTAATACAATCAAATTGCATTTAATTGAACTGTGAGACCACACTTGACAAATAAATTAATGTACTGCATTAAATCGTAAAACACTCACTATCTTCATTTAATCCGCAGCTCGCTTGACCACTGCTCGCTCTCTATCCAGAGTGAATGTTTATGCAGTAATATGATGTTCTGTCTGTCTTAGTAGAAGAGACGTAACAATCTGCTGCTTAATGGAATAACTTGGAGAGTCTGGAGAGTAACTCATTAAGGACTACAAGGTAAATTTCTCTCATAATCGTTTGTGTGGTGAAAAACAAATGTATGAATTTGCATTCAATATGGCTGCCATGCTACCTGCACAGGACAACCAGTTGGTTCCAGGAAGCTTGCTTTCCTCCGGATCCTGTACCTACCAGGTGCAGTCTTTTCTTGGACAAGGCACTTTTGGAAAAGTTGTCAAGTGCAAGAGACTCGAAGACGAAGATGGTTAATCAAGAGGTAAGAAACAAATCTTTGTGCTTATTCCAGTTTGATTTATACCATCTGCAATCCTTATGTACACATACGTATGTACTGCCTTGTGTACAAGTTTACATCAAGCTAATATACAATCTTTCTGTGGTCTGCCATGTATCTCCAGGTGGCTATACTGAAGAAATTGAGATCTTTGGACCTGGACAAGCAAAACATCGTTCAGTGGTACCAGTTCTTCACCGACAGAGAACACATCTGCCTGGAGTTTGAGCACCTGGACAAAAGTCTCTTCGATTTTATGACTGAACAAAATTTCAGACATCTCCTTCTGAAAGAGATTCGCCCAATTGTCCAGCAGGTATGTCCACCTCTGTCCACCTTCCTCTCTACACGAACAATCAGTATGATAATATATACAGGTGGAACCTTGTTGACATTTTTATGAAATGAACTTTTCAGATTGCTCATGCGCTGAAGCACTTGAAGGCTGTGGGGTTTATCCATGCAGACCTCAAGTTAGAAAACATGATGCTAGTTGATCAGCAATGGGAGCCCTTCTGTGTCAAAGTGATCGACTTTGGATTAGCATGTGATGTGTCAGCTGCCAAGTTGGGCTCCTACATTCAGACCCGTCCATACCGGTGAGTACCTGGAACCATGACAGATCTTACTTAACAGTGAAACATGGATTCTACTTTGCTGCCTCTTAGTAAGTTATTGTTGCCACACGGCAACACTATGCAATTAAGAGGTAAGGAACAGAGTATCTGGTATATTWACAATACCATCTATYTARWGAAKTTCTGTACAAAATGACATATYSATCTGTYGAYTGTAGCTGCAGCATTTTTATGTTATTGTCACACATCAATATTTATTATTGTCCCTTTATTTTCTGTTTGAACCACACTGTTAATGGTGCACTGTGAAGTCAGCTGAACACATTCTCTCTGATGTCTCACTGTGACTWRACTTACTTACKTGCACCAAAGCTCTCAGATGTAATGCAGTCTTTCTCTATGACTTCACAGGACATTATATAGATTTACATTCACTTACTAAATTGACTGTGAATGTTTTTAACATGCATTTACATATAGCGCAGTGTAGTCCAGTATTTAGTATAGTGCATTATGGTGTAATGCTGTGTAGTGAATGGTCGGTGCTTCTCCCTCTATAGGACAAACTGTCTTACAGAATTTGATTGAGAACAATACTTTTTTCTGCTCATCTGCTTTTGTTTACTTCACTTTTAGACTTGTACCACAAGTCCAATTTTTGTTTATCATATTATTATGTGATGCATTGATGCATGTGTATTATGATGCATCCCTGTATTTATTATCTACGTCTTTGTGTCTAGTGTCCTTCTTTTGTTTGCTATGTGACATATGAGAGTAACATTTTATCAGAGTTAAGTTTTAATGTTTCTCTCTGTCTCTCTTTAAGAGGATCAAGCTATATTTATTCCAATTAACTATAAAATCAATCACAGAAAAGCAGTAGCTCTGATGTCAGAGCTCAAGTCTTTACACTGATGCTCTTGTTGGTCTGTTTTTGTTCAGTCAACCTGCAGAGATGTTGAGATGAATGTTGAGGAGCTCTTCCATGATCYATGTGCTGCAGTTTTCCTAATACCTTTGTAGTAATCACGACACGTAGACTTMTTTTWATTCGATTTCTTTAATCAATCACAATAATAATAATGATCATATAAAAGGTTTTAAATACATTTAATTGAGAGAGAGAAAGAGAGAGAGTAGCCATGGTTACAAGGCATAACAAAATTTCAAAATTTCACAGTGTAACCTTGTATCTGCATCTGCACCAT